GGAACACCGAAAGCCAAAACTTTATCACGAAGTTAACTCGAGTCTCTCGTTCATTGCAGTTTTGAAGAGCTGGTCGAAGTACACAGACAGCCGGAGTTGGCTGCCATGATGCGATACTCGGAAATCTCACGCGACCTGTCCATGGATAATCTGCGCTACTCAGAGGTATAGTCATAAGCACACATCTTTCTCAAATTTACTTTGATTTTAACCTATGGCCTCTTGACTTTTCAGTTAAGCAGAAAACCCAATACGGACTATCATGGTTATGCGGGACAGGCCTATGCCTCGTCCCAATTCAAGCAGAGCTCACCTCCTCCTTCGCAGCAGCAACAGCAGCCAACTCGCCTGGCCAAACAACGAAGTCCAAACGCCAACGGAAATGCCCACACCATGGCTTGTCTGCGCAAGGAGAAGACCCCGAAGGAGCACCAGATGGAACCGCCCAGTATGCAGCCGCAGGCCAGCAAAACCCTGAATATCAAAAGCACGCGGCGCAAGAACTCCATCGGTTGTTTAAACAGTTTCTCCTCCTCGCCAGACTCACCGGGCTGCTACTATACTATAGCGTAAGTTATCGGTAAACAAAAGGGAGTAGAGTTCATATCAGGAGCTGAATATATTAAGATTATTGCGTATTTTTGTTTGCATAAATAGGCATTCAGGCATGATTTTAGTGTGACTCAGTTGACATAAAATTGAAATGCTCTGTTTAGCACACTTCTAATTAAAATTTTCTCTGGTTATTTAGAGCCTCGGCAGCACCGCCGTCCAAGTCGCAAAGTTTACCAGCCCACGGCTCCATCAAGCAGTTGGATGAGGTTATCTTGAGCGCGTTACGTGTACCCGCCGATGTGTTGGCCAATCAGATCACACTCCTGGATTTTCCCGTCTTCGCCCAGATCCAGCCGGATGAGCTGAGCAGTTGTGCTTGGACGAAAAAGGACAAGCACGTTAATACACCGAATATTGTGGCATTTACCAAACGATTCAACCACACGAGCTTTTGGACTGTGCAGGAGATACTAAATGCCGAGCAGCCAAAGCAGAGAGCCGAGATAATGACTCACTTTATAAAGGTGAGAAAATTTGCCCAAGATGATAAAGTAATTGCATCAACATAGTGAATAAATCTTTCTTTTTTAGGTGGCCAAAAAGCTCCATGAACTCAACAATCTACACTCGCTTTTTGCTATTATTTCGGCCATGCAAAGCGCCAGCATATATCGCCTGACAAAAACCTGGGCATGCCTATCGAAGAAGGATCGCCACTCCTTCGAGCGCCTCAGTGATATATTCAGCGACCAGGACAACTGGGCGAATCTGCGGTCCTATCTCGAGAGCCTCCGCCTGCCCTGTATCCCGTATCTGGGTCTATTTCTCACCGATTTGATTTACATCGACTTGGCCCATCCCCACAAGGGCGGACTGGAGCCGGAACAGCGGCGCAATAAGATGAACAACATATTGCGTGTAATCTCGAACTATCAGCAGTCGGACTATAAGCCTCTGCAGAAGCATGAGGCCACACAGAAGTATCTGACCTCCATACGATACATCGAGGAGTTGCAGAACATATTCGAGGAGGATCAGTACAAGTAAGGGAAAACTTTTGATGATTCATTTTATGAGATATGAAAACCAAACTTTGTACTCAATGAATCTTGTATGCTTAAATCATCATTGAACAATAGAATTTGTGAGCTATTTATCGGAGTTACCTCTTACTCGTTTAATTATTTATAAAAACATTGTTATTAAGAAACCTTATATTCTTTGTCTATACAAAAACAGTCATGAGAGTATATCTTGATAAACCACAAAGAAAAATTTACCTCGAATATTAATGACTCACAGAAATGTTTTTTGATAATTTACACAGCTTGCTTCATGTTTCTGATTCTTTGTTGTTATGGTTTTCATATCCCAAGATATTTGGTATTATACTACAGTTTTTGCTTACCTTTCAGGCGCTCTTTGAACCTGGAGCCTGCGTCGCCTTCTGGACCCAGTTCGTCGTCCTGCAGCTCTAAGGAATCCTTCAACGTGGAAGCAGTTACTCCTGCCCTGGGCTGCCTGAATCTCTCGCCGGCCAAGACCATTGGCTCGATGCGCATGGCCAGTGGTACAAAGTTCGTTCCTGGTCATCGAAAGTGTCGCAGTCTCGGCACCAAGTAAGTAAAGGAATAATCCCACCCAGAAAGCCCCACTTCGGCCTCCTTTGTTAACCACCTTTTTGAATCCACAACCTCGAATCACTGCGCATTAATTGGACATATGTACATCGGGTCCTTATTAATCGTTTGTATCTCTGTCTCTCACTCAAACCGTTTTGCTTTTGGCTTATGCTTTCATTTTCTGTGTGTGTTCGTTAATTGTCAAACATATTCGCCACTGCCCGAAATGAATGAAGATTTCGCAGCAGCAGCTTGCCGCGAAACTTTGCCCAGAAGTGCCAGTGCTGCATCGTGATGATTGCGCCGGGCATTGGCACCATCTCCAACAAGCGTTGCAGATGCCGTCGGTGAGTCCAGAACAGAGTCCAGTAGCTAGGATATGTGTAATGCCAGCCTGTAACCGAAATCGATAATGCATCCTGATCCGATGCGGTATCCTCATTTTACCATCCGCTGTGCTCAGTTTTTATCTCCTCATTTTTGATTTCTGCACGGACCCGAGTTGAAATTGCTTCGTATGACATACACCAAACACACGCCTCCACACTTGCCTCATTTCATTTGGTTTTGATTTGGGAAATGTTACATTATGCCAAAATAAGCACACATCCTTACCGATTACATATTAAAGAAGGTATTGTCGCAATTATATCCAACAAGTAACCTTTAGGAAATTCTTAAAAAAGGAAAGCTTTTAATTCAATAATAACTTTGTATATAGAAAAATAAATAATAAATAATTATAATTTAATATTGGATCATTTAAAGAATATCGTACAAAAATTATAATAAATAAAATAATATTAAAAAAAGCAATTTGCTAAATTTATTAGGTATCTATAAATTCTTATAGGTTGTGTATTCCAATCGACAGTACCTTTTATAAATACAAAACGCAGTTCATTCTTGTTTGCCTTTTCGCAATTTCATTTGTTTGAGAAGCATGATTTAGTACCTCGTCCAAAAAATAGTTCACTAATCCGTGTTGTTCCATTGCAGCATTTTTGGCAAGATTGCGCCACACAACCACGTCGACGGACATCCTCACCACCTGCACCTGGAGCTTGACCCCAGCCAAGTCCAGCCGCGCCATCATCTGCTGGATGATTCGGTCTTGGAGCATAGCGACGCCTTGTCCCAAGCTGATCTTACATCCCTGGAAAGTGCCGAGGGAATCCTGTGTGATTTTACCGGCAGCGATTGCGATTTGATGTCCCCGGAGGCAGCAGCTGCTATGCAGGGCTGTGTCCGCCGGAAAACGGTCCAGAAGGAGGGAAGGAAGCCAGCAGTGGCCTCTTGGCAGCGATACTGGCTGCAGATCTGGGCCAACTCTCTGGTGTACTTCCCACCAAAGTCCTTCAAAGGCAGCGAACGCAGCGACTTCAAGAGGGAACCGTGCAAAGTGTGCCCTTTGGATGGATGGTATGCCCATGTCAGCGATAACACCAAGCACAAGAACACCTTTGAGCTGTGCCACCGAACCTTGGGCACCGTCTATCGCTTTCGCACGGACAGTCCCCAGATGACGCACCTCTGGTCGAATGCCATTTGCAAACTGGCCACCATGCGAGTGCCCAAACCTCTGCCCACCAATCTGATGTCCTTCGAATGAGCAGCTGGGCCCCAAATACAAAACACAGGAACTCGAATATATTGTACTCATCATAGCCTAGTATACCTAGTTTAGTTAGCTTTATCCCTTGAAACGTGCACAGCCAAAAAAAAAACACCCTCCCACCAAACCACTCACTCACTCCCTAAAACGAGGCAACCGCAGAACATTCCCACAACCACAACGAACGAACAAATTGCAGCCTGCATCTAGATGAATCGATTTCAAAATGGTATTTCAAAAGACTGACACCGAAGGAGAACACGAAGCGAAGATGAAGTAGCGGAGGAGCAGTACCAGAAAAGTAGCCACACAATCACAAAACAACAGACTAAACCGACAACGCAGGGGAATTAGAATCCCAAATATGTAACGGCCCTGTTCTCAAAGTCCCATTTTATTTGAATTTGGCGGAAACGGAATTGATCAAATGGGTCGTCATCGAATAAACATTTCTTGTAAGCTTGTTTTCAATGACCCAGAATTTAAACGCTCTGAAAGGGGGTGTAACTATAAAATACTAAAATATTCCTAACTCCAAATTCGCTTAAATGTGCAACAGGGCTGTCTCTTTGTTAATGTGCTGTCTTCGCTGTATTTTGTATTTGTAAAATTTAATATTAAGTAAATTACTTGGACATTTACTCAACTTAATTTTGCGCTAATCGTGCCATATTAGTTCTAAATTTGTGTTCACACAACGAATGTTGGCCAGCAAACGAATCCGAATTCGATTTGCCCAACGCCTAACTTTGTAACAAAGAATCAAAAATCAAACGAACTTTCTACGCGTAACTAAGGGCTTTAATATTGTATCGCTACCACTATCATGATCGACATCCGTTAATCTGTATATCTGCCTTAAGTTGATGCACTAGACATACATACATAGAGCTAAAGAAACATAGATACGTATCCCATAAATTGCATGCGTGAATTGTAGGAAAGGAAAGTAATGTTAGTGTTTCTGTTTTTTTTTGTTTCTGTTGAGACGGCCTAATGAATTGTAACTCCTAAGCTTTGTCACACATACAGATTATCATATGCAGCGTTTTTACATTAGTTTAAGAAAGAAATGCAACAAAAACAAAATAAACCACAAAACGAAAGAAAGAAATGCGTGTTATATAAGGCATCTAGGGCTATTTACAAGCACATCAGATCGTGCAAAGTGCGGAAATTTGCAATTCATTTGCACAGACGCACTGAATCCCAATTAGGGAGCTCGGCTTGCCGTGAAACGGGAGGCCTTTAAAACGTGTAGATCGGCTAATAGCGTCGCCAGTCGATTGCGAAACCTGAAAGTGGCGAAAAGTGGCGGAAGGATGGAGTATCCATGGATTAAAATTAAACCCCTGCTGATGCTGACTGTATTAATGTTCATTTTCTTCTTCAGCTGCTGTCTGGGCGGCAAGACGACCACCATGTGAGAGGATTACGCAACCATTCAGCCACTAGACCCCTTTCACTAATCCATCCTTTCACCCTTTCTCCCCAAAAATACCAGCGTTAGCCACACAGACACCCTGGATCCGCAGGCCGACGGCTTCTGGGCGAACAAGACCACTTGGAACGCTCGGTGGGTGAAGTACTGGCGGGCCAAGAAGATCTACGAGCCGGTGTGGAAGAAGGTCTGGACACCCACCATCCACAACGAGTGGGTGCCCCTGCCCAACGCCCCCAACGAGTGGGAGGCGGAAAAGGGCCATTCGTACCAATGACACTCGAGAGACTGAAACCTAAACTAAGAGTATTTTATAGTTATTTATCTTTTATTTTGTATTCAGTGGTAATTAAAGTCTAGAGATAATTTAAAGTGGCGCCAATGCAAATGGTAGTGGAATGGATGGCCTTATGAGCTAGCGACTGGTTTACGACTATTTACAAGGAGCTTGGAACCGGGCGTTGTGTGATGCAACCGTTTTGGTGATGCAATGGCCACCTACGCGCCGGGAAACTTGAATGACTGCGAGGTGGCTGCCACCGAGGCGGCGGGCGCGGCTACGGGGGACTTGGCCGCCTCCAGGGACTTGGCCTGGAAGTCGGCGCTGGCCACGGGCTGCAGCAAAGTTGGCTTTCCGGCAGCATTGGTGTCATCTCGCTTCCACACCACCTTATCCTTGCCATCGGCCGACTTGGTGGCCGTGACACCCGCATCCTTGCGATCCCAGTCAAAGCCGTGCTCATGATGATGATGATCGTGGTGGTGGTCGGGCGAGGGGAACCACTCGGAAATGACCACTGGCTTCCAGATCTTCTTCCAGCCGGGAACCCAGATCTCCTTCCATCCGGGCACCCAAATTTGCTTCCATGCCTCCTTCCACTCCTGATAATTTATCGGAAAATTAGTTTTACTATAGATAACCCTATTTTGAGATATAACTTACCAATTTATCGGTCCAGATTTCCTTCTTAGCTGGCTTCCAGTATTGCTTCCATCCCTCCTTCCATTCCAGCTTCTTCTCGGGCACCCAGATTTGCTTCTTGGCTGGCTTCCAGATCTTTTTCCAGTGCGACTTCCAGACCACTTTCTATAGGTTTTAAAATCAGAGCGTTTATAAGGCATGTAACTATTATAATGATATGGTATAACCAACCTTCTTCCACAAATCATGGCTGGTGTACTCCCAGCCCTCGTGATCCTTGCCCAGATATTTCTCGCCGGGAATGCCAACCTGGAATTAAAATTTTTTTAGATACATCCATTGGAAAGATGAGAAAAGTTTATACCTTAACTAATTCTGGTGTCCAGATCTGCTTGTAATCGGGTACCTGAATGTCCTTCCAAGCGGGCACTAAAATCTCTTTCCAGTGGGGAACCTAAGTTGTATATGAAATGTTAGATTACATTTCTTATAAGTAGAAGCTAGGACACCTACCCAAATTTGTTTCCAGGCGGGAACCTGAATCTCCTTCCAGCCAGGTACTTTTACCCAATGGGGCTTCCAGATCTGTAAAGAATAATTGTTTTGTAATTCTATACCTTAAAAAATTTTAAAAACATTTAAAGTCCTAACCAGATTATAATAGTTATAATTCAAAAAATCGTAAATATTTTAATGATCTCTAAAATTCTATGGCATTTGTGGGGTTGAACTATTTGGATACTTATTTACCTTCTTCCACGAGGGATTCCAGATTTGTTTCTTGGCCGGATTCCAGATCTTCTTCCATCCCTCCTTCCAGGTGACCTTCTTCTTCCAGTACCCGGGATCATGGTGCTCATGATGGTGTTCATGGTGTTCGATAATGTGCTCGTGGTGTTCGTGGTGCTCGTGATCGTGAATCAGGCCATCGCCCAGTCCCAGTCCCAGATCGATCCGCTGCTGGGCAACACTTTTGCTGTCCACCTGGGAAGCGGCAGGCTGCTGATCCACCACAGCCTTGGATTGACTGCCTCCGATGGCCCAACAGAGCACACCGAGCAGACCCAACTGGAACGAAAAGCGGCGAGATGTAGTTACCCTTCAAACATCCAATAGATACAAATCAAAAGACTGAGACAACAAACTCGAGCATGAAGAAAGCTTGTACAAATTGAATTCGCAACGATCATGTTAATGAATTCCATATTCTCCAAAAGAAAGGTGAGTGACTGAAAACGAGTTTTAAGTGGGTCACAGTCTGGCATTGTTTTGGCAGACCGACAGGGAAATATTGCATAACCCCTGCTGTTTATAATTTCATACAATGCCTGACCTGGGTCAAGAGAGCAGGTATAGTTGATGACAAATTATGCCGGGTATGGCCCCTCTGTATTTGGTCAATTTGTTTTATTATGTAAATAGGTTTTCGTATTGTTAAGATAAATATGGAACTGCTGGGAAAAATGACGCAAGACAGCTCTGCATTTGGAGAATCCAACAAGGTCAGAGGAACGCCTTTGTGATTTCGCAAAATTAGCCCGATTTGTGGATACAATTTCAAAAGCCCAAGCCCACTACAGTATACCTAATACCAATCAATTGGCGCATAAATGTCAACGAGGTCCGGCCCGATTATGAAATGGAAATTAGCGCCAGCAAAAATTATCTCATCGGATAGTGCTAATTGTAGCAGATCGATCGTGTCAGCTTCCTCACTTCGGCTGGGCAGTGAAAGCTACTTCGACTGGTTTCGCCTGCAGTTGGATCATCGGTCGTGAGGGAAAAGAGCTGGTAACTCCGCACTGCACCCCATGGACATATGGCTATACGTACTATATATCCCCCGGTCGCTAATGAAACGATCGCGATTTTAATTGTTGACAATGCGCCGCAAGTCGGAAGGGAATCGGCGGGCAGTCAGGGGTCTCTCAAAAAACTAATGAAAAATGCATGGATCGTGCTGTTGACAATAGCGGACCGACAGGAAGAAAGTGTTTCCCTTGCTCAGTTGTAAATTCCACTAGATAAATATTTAAAAATATGTTTGGTTTAAACAAAACAAAAAAACCACTGAACAATTTTGAAGAAATCGGTATAATAAAAAAATACTCAAGGAAATTATCTCAACATAGCAAATATAACTTTAAACAAATAAATAATATTAAAAGATTGAAAGAAAAGATTTTTGTTTTTAAGTTTTTGATTTAATTTTTTTTTTATTTTTAAAGGAATAAGCCCTTATTTTACTTTTAAAAAAAATCTTAAAATTGCTATGACCTAACCCAAATTGCAAATATAATATGTATACCAAATTGGTATACATTTTTAATAAACCAATATCATCATAAAGCAAACAAGTACTTGATCGATGATTACTTAATATTTTTCAAAAGAAATAATTAAACCACCTTGCCAAACCAAGGTTTTGCAATTTTCTTAGAAAAATTCACTGAAGCATACATCCCCAAAATAAATTGCCGCAACAACTTCGCAGCCTATGCAAATATAATGAGTACTCCATTAGTTCCACTTGTGCAGCTACCACCCGCAACCCCAATTCGATGTTAATTTCCATTTCGCGACACTTTTTCACAGTTTTTAAACATTTATTTTTACTATTTTCTTGGTAATTACCACAAAATGCCGCTGGATCCTCATGGCTCCCGATTACAGCTGGTGAAACGCTTAGGTTAAGACACTATCTGTATAGGCACTATTTGGCGGTATCTTTGAAATATATATCACTTTGAGCCAACTTTGGGGATGGGCCAGCACTTCTTTGGCCACTTTCGTGGAATCGACTGTCGAGCTGAAGATCGGGCACCTACGGTTAAATACACACCGCGCAGGTGCAACCGGCGAAAAGAGAGTAATACTTCCCAAAACTCTCTCTGTCTCCAGTGAAAATGAGAGTTAAAATCCAGCTAGACCTTGAATTTTGATAACGGTTTCGTGTGTAAACAATGACGAAGCTTTTGCTCGCAAAGCTTCAAGCCGGCTTGCCTCTTTTTTTCCTCCAAGCCAACCTCTCTTTCTTCAGACAGCCCACTCTTTTGGCCATTTTTTGAAAACCTGGAGACGTGACTTGGTCTGCAGGCTGCTCCAAATGTTGTAATCCCCCCCAAAAGCTTATGGCCATAAATGTTATAAATCTCTATAAAGAAAAATAAAAAAAGAGTTCAAAATCCACGACTACATTTAGGCAATGCAAATTAATAGCACGCAATGGAAAACCAAAAAACAAAATTAAGTCCAAGCCCATTGCGTTTGTCTTCGGTTTTTTGTGATTATTGATTTTTGGGAATTCTTATTGTTCAATCCCTCAGCAAAACGAAGGTCGTCACGTCTTTGTTTAATATGTCCAGTGGTGTCGCATTAATTAGATGGTTTTTAATGTAATTTATTGCCCATCGAAGTCCCAATTCGGTTAAGGGCAATGCTCGTGGACGTGTCTATGGCTTAGATCCCCATTAACCATTGCATTTCTTCATGTGCTAGCCAACAATGTGGCAAGACATTGAAAGACAATAGCCAGCATTTTTAATTTCATTTTCCGTTTCATTTCCTGCCACATTTTCATTGGGATCCGCAACAGCAAGACATGCGGAATACCGCTCTTTAAATGGTTCGATTCATTTGGCCAAAAGCAAGTTAATTGCATGTTGATTTAATTTCGAATGAATGAGCAGCAGTGGATAGCTCACCTGTTGGCCAGCTTATGGAGTTCCAGGTGCGTGTGTGTACCTGGTCTGGTTCCGTTTCACTTAGTGGGAAGTGATCGGTTGCATAACTTGTTGTTGTTATATCCCATAATATATCTATTAGAGTTCTCTTTGGCTGCCAGGACTTTCACCGCAGCCTTTCTCCCTTAATGGCTGGCCATCATTTTCCGCCAGCTGACAGTTAGTTCCACCCTCTGCATAAGGAAGTGCCAAACATGATTCACACACCAGCAGCCAAAACGAAATCATATTAATATTCATCAATTTCAGATACACATAGAGCGGCCTGTGTGTCCCCTTTCAGGAAGTGGAGCCACAAAACTGGACTGAAATGCGTAACAACTTGCCCATGGCCATGCGTTCGGTTCAGACCCAGGTCCTCCGCCTCCTCATCGCCATTGCAAACTCCAAACTCCCAACTGCAGACTATAGACCACAAACTGCAGACGGTGTTGAACCACTTTTACTTTCCCCCCCTTCCGTTTGGCTGGCTAACAGCGTGATGTGGCGTTTTATTTATTTATTTATGCCTTTCATGATTATTCATCTTATCGTCGGCGGTAATCGGTCAATATATGCGCAGCTATAAGGGTAAGTTGTTGTCAATTGCACTGGAAAAAAATAAGACTACACCAAAAGAACATTTTGGAAAAGTGAAATATATTTGTATATCCTCCGTTGTTATTAGAGCCTTGATTAAATCAAAAGTCTGTTATGTGGTTTTCCCC